GAGGGGTGAAATCTCCTCACACAGCACTCCTGACATATGGTTGTCAAGCCTCTGCTTAAAGACCTTGAGTCCATCATCCAAGTCGTTGATAAAGATGTTGAATAAGACCGGGCCCAAGACAGAACCCTGTGGCACCCCACTAGTCACTCTTCTCCAGGATGAAGAGGAACCATTGATGAGCACCCTTTGGGTTCGGTCAGTCAGCCAGTTACAAATCCACTGAGTGGTAGCATAGTCAAGACCGCATTTTACCAGCTTCTTTACAAGAATATCATGGGGCACCTTGTCAAATGCCTTGCTGAAATCAAGGTAGGCTACATCCACTGCGTTCCCTTCATCTACCAGGCTTGTAATTCTGTCAAAAACGAGATCAGGTTAGTCTGACATGACTTATTTTTCAGAAATCCATGCTGACTATTGGTGATCACAGCATTCCTTTCTAGGTGCTCACAGACTGTTTGCTTAATGATCTGCTCCAGAATCTTCCCTGGTATTGATGTCAGACTGACTGGGCGGTAATTATTTGGGTCCTCTCTTTTCCCCTTTTTGAAAATAGGGACAACATTTGCCCTCCTCCAGTCTGCCGGGACTTTGCCTGTTCTCCAGGAATTCTCAAAGATGACTGCCAGTGGTTCTGAGATCACATCTGCCAGTTCTTTTAATACTCTTGGATGCAGTTCATCTGGCCCTGGAGACTTGAATACATCTAAACTAGCCAAGTATTCTTGTACTATCTCCTTAATTATTCTGGGCTGTGTTTCCTCTGCTGAATCATTTGCTCCAAATTCTTCAGGTTGGGCATTGTTTTCTTTATCGGAGAAGACTGAGGCAAAGAAGGCATTGAGGAGTTCAGCCCTTTCTGTGTCCCCTGTTTGCATTTCACCATCTTCTCCTCTGAGTGACCCCACTGTTTCTTTGTTCTTCCTTTTGCTACGAACATACCCATAAAAGCCTTTTTTGTTGCTTTTAACCTCTCTAGCAAGCCTGAGTTCATTCTGTGCTTTAGCTTTTCTGACTTTGTGTCTACACGTGCTGGCTATTTGTTTGAATTCCTCTTTGGTGGTTTCCCGCTTTTCCATTTTTTGTACACATCCTCTTTTAATCTTAACTCAGTTAAAAGTTCTTTAGATAGCCACCCTGGCTTCTTTAGGCACCTTCCATGTTTCCATCTCATTGGTATTGCCTGACGTTGTGCTTTTAGTATCTCCCTCTTAACAAACTCCCAGCCATCATGAACTCCCTTTCCTTTTAGTATTACTGTCCATGGGATCTCACCCAGCACTTCCCTAAGTTTTATGAAGTCGGCTTTCTTAAAGTCAAGAAATTGAGTCCTAGTATGCTTGGCTGCTCCTTTCCGCTGTATAGTAAACTTCAGAAGAGCATGATCACTCGCGCCTAATGATCCTTCCACTTCTACCCCACTAACCAGGTCCTCAACATTGGTTAGGACCAGATCTAAAATGGCTGTTCCTCTTGTTGCTTCTCCCACTTTCTGGACAATGAAGTTGTCTGCAAGGCCAGTGAGGAATCTGTTTGACCTTATGCTCTTGGCTGAGTTTGACATCCAACAAATATCCGGGTAATTGAAGTCCCCCATTACTACTATCTCCCTTCCTTTTGCATGCTTGGCCATCTGTTCCAGGAAGGCATCATCTATGTCCTCCATTTGGCTTGGGGATCCTCAGGAGCAGGCACCAGGTAATTCCACTCTGGCTCCGGAGGCGATTGAGGACGCATTGCCTACAGGTGCGCCTCTCCCAGCCCTGTCAGGGGAAAGTGAGTCTCCCCCTGGGTCCAGTAACCCACTGGCCTCTCCTGAGCTGCAGAGGCTCAGGGCAGAGAGGCGGAGGGAACTGGTTTCTCCCAGGAGGAGTGCTCGCCTTAAGGCCAGGAGAGGCGGGTCACCTGGGGGCCGGGACCGCCCCTGGCCTCAGAGAAGATACAGGCCAGTCAGCCCGGTCCCCGGTTGCGGGAGCAACGTCGTTGAAGAGCTGTTTCGGCCAGCATCCAGTCCTGTTCCCCCAGAGTTCCTGTCCTTGCCCGGCTCCTCGCTGTGGACCCCGCTTCACCCGTGGAGGACTGTCTGCCAACCCTCGACTCAGGTCCTGGACCTCGCCCCACGGTAACCTCCCCCCTGGACCAGCACAAGGTGCTTACTCAGGGTCTGTGTTTCCTTTTGGAAATGAGGCTCAGCAAAGACTGTGGTGTCTTTATGATATATGGTTTATTTACACATATATACAACCTGAGCCTGCAGTGTAGGGGTCCACAGCTGGACACTGAGGTCCAGCTCTGAGGACCTTCACTGCGAGAAGTGAGGTTTCAGGGAACCAGGCAGAGGGCCTTCTCAATAGTGGTGCCCTCCCTGTGGAACACCCTCCCGTCAGATGTCAAGGAGATAAATAACTATCTGACTTTCCTAAGACATCTGAAGGCAGCCCTGTATCAGGAAGTTTCTAATGTTTGATTTATGTTTATTTGATGTCTGAAGAAGTGTGCATGCACACAAAAGCTCATACCAATGACAAACTTAGTCTCTAAGGTGCTACTGGAAGGAATTTTTTATGTATGACATTGTTATATTTCAATACTTTCTTGCATATCTAAAATATGGTTCCAGGTTTTAAAAAACAATGTATCAGAAATACTTTTCAGGTTCAGTTTCCTATTCCATTTGTAGCTTTGTTTGAATCTAAAATATAGTACTGTTTTTGGATCAGTAATTTATTAAGATTATTAATCAACACCTGCTGAGTGTGGATACTTATGTAGCCAAAATGGCACTATCCACACACAAGACACAGGCTTCAGGAAGCTCTAAGGTTTGCAGAAATACAACAACAACAACAACAACAACAGCAACTTCTTTAGGGAAAAGGAGAGGAAATCCCCCCCCCCACATGCTCAGTAGGCACAAAATGGTGACTGCCTGTTTGGGTTTGTGAATGGAAAACCATGGTGGGGAGGGAATGAAATGGAGTACTCTGTGGGAGGCTGGAGGAAGCATGAATAGATAGCTTGAACCCTGAACAGGAGCTCTCCACACTGAAACATTTTAATGCAGGCCCCCCTTGCTATCTTATAACAACAGCAATGGATAATGATAGATATGAAAGAGAAAAATTATAGCTAACATTAGAACAAAAAACAGTTTTGTTTTCAAAAGAATCCAAATAATTATTTTGTTTTCAAAAGAATCCAAATAATTATTTTGTTTTTAAAAGAATTCAAAGATATATTCAACTGTCCTGGAAGATGTCCCAGTATTATCATTGCTCCATCTCAGATGGGGAACAGAGGCTGAGAAATAGCGCCTTGTTGAATGTAATGAACATAATAAGCTCATGGTTGGGGTAAGATATCTCAGCTTAAACCATTAGCCGCCACCACGCACCAGTGCACTTCACGCTGTGGTTTCCTTCCACCCAGATACATTAAAGCTGACTGAGGTGTTTATTAGATGCAACAGGCACCAGTAATGCTGAGAGAGCAGTGAAACACAAAGAACTGGTGATTGCAATTAAGACATTTTGTTTCTTTGAAGGAGATCCTATCAAGGTCTCACTCAATAATGCCTTTTAAAAATACTGTATGTATTATACATGGTAATACAGGTTAAGGGTTGTTCTGGCATGCTGGTTTGGTATCTACAGAGTACCTGATAGAATGATATGGACAATACTCCACACAATTGTCTTTTGATCCTCATCTTCTACTCAATGTTATGCCAAACTGAGCCACCTGGTGCTGTTAATTGCAGAACCTACCCAGTTCCTGGAGAGGAGAGCACCAGCCCTTATTCAGAGTAAGCTGCTCTGCATTTTCAAAATCATAGAATTGTAGAGTTGGAAGGGACCATGAGGGTCATCTAGTCCAACCCCCTGTAATGCAGGAATCTTTTTGCCCAACTTGGGGCTCAAACACACAACCTCATGGTCTACTGAAACGAAATATTTTTTAAAATAAAAAAATAGATTAAAAAATATATCCAAGCATGTAGAGCACTTCAATTCCTCTGTGGGGCATGTGCACATGTGGCTGCAAATGTGATTTAGAGCTTGTTGTCAGTGTTAGGGACAGATTTTGGCCAGTCTTTGTTCTTATTGTGGCATGTGTTACCCATTGCCAAGGTCACTGTTCTCTCATATGTTGATTGCTTTGCTGTAGCCTTTGTGTGTGTTTATTTTCACTTACTGTGGGAACTAGCTGCCGCTTTTCAAGTGCAATTTCAGATCTAGATTTGTCTAGCTTGTATTTATATTGCAGCTTTTTTTCCTGCTTGTCTAGCTTGTATTCACCATATACTGCAGCTTTTTTCCTGCTTGCGAATGTCAGATTCTGAAGACTCAAATTTCCTTTCAGTGTTGTTTAGCATTTCTTATAACTGGCTGAATGCAGTAGAGAATTGATGCCATGGCTTCTGTGATGTTGCCTCCTGATGTCTTCCTAAATATGTTAAACCTTAGAACCTTCCTGACAACAGAACACAATCCTAGTCATGCTTACTCAGAGTAAGGTCCACCACTCAAAGGTAAGATCCATTGAACTAAGTGAGACTTTCTTCTGGGTACATGTGCATAAGACCTTTCAAGAATGCTGTTAAATATGTCTGACCACACTAGAGAACATGTGCTGTACTGTTCCATTCAGTCTTTGATGCTGGATGACACAGTAAAAGGGAGGCCTCTCTAGTGAAACTGTCCAGTTTTAGTTTGGTCACAATTGTTAATGCCACTTCAAGGATACTAACATATCTCTCTGAAGGATATTGCTGTGACTCACGATTGACATGACTCAGAGAAACTTCTGGTGTAGATGTGTGTTCCAAACCTTAAATAGCTATAGCGAAGAACAAAAGTTCACGAGTGACACCTTTTTAAAAAAAGAGAATGCCACCCTTAAGCACTTTGTGTTCATTCAAAAGCTTCCTGTGTTAAAGTGGTTTTTTTGGAGGAGGTATAGTTTTGCTCAGGTACAAAAGATATCCAAAAACATTAACAGAACTTCACAGCTTCATTTTATTACAAAAGAAAAATAAATACAGCTACCTGTGCAGCTGTGGGAACAGAGTGAAGATCAGGGGAGCCAACGTGGGCCCCAGGTTCTGGGTGCCCAGTATAGGCGACATCATGACGTCACATGTGGTGTGACATCATGATGTGTGCTTTTTTAATAAAAAAAAAATTATACCATAACCTTGTGAAATTAATGGCATGAAGCTACAAAATTAGCAAATGCTTTGAAATCTATATACAAAACATAAATTACCTCTACTTTTAAACTCAGTTTTTTGTGCACCACTTAGAAATATTTTAAAGTGGCACCCAAAATAGCCATACACCACTCTAAAAAAGGAAATTGTTCCGTTAATATCATACCCTCCCATTTCTCCCAACACTCAGATCTCAATACACAACTAGTCATCATGTTCACAGACATTTCCAAGGTGATATTTCATGTTCCGTTCTCATAACTTCTGGTTGTCAGAAAACCCAGGCTTTCCTTGGTTGGAAGAATTTGGTCCTACTGAAGTTGGAGTATCCCTTCCAATGTTCTTCATGCACATTTTAGCTTCTGGTGGCATCAAAAGAAAATTAGAGACCAGAAGAAGAAAGAAGTTTTGGATGAAATAATTAAGAAAAAGAGTTAACTAAAAACCCAAAAAAGGAAAGCATTAAACAGACAATTAAAATATTACAATCACAATATTCAATGATAATTAATCAAGAAGTAGAATGGAAAATTAAAATACTAAAGCAAAAGAACTTGAGTATGCAAATAAGCCAGGAAAATTACTAGCAAGGCAATTAAATAAAAAGAAAACCAATAACTTGATCAACAAGATAAAAGTAAATGACAAAATAATAGATAACCCTAAAGAAATTAGGAATAAATTTGTTAAAGATATGTCAGATCTATACCATAAAGGCCCAGAAAACAAAATAGAAATTGAAAGATATATACAACAAAAAATGATAAATTAAATTTATTAAATGCTCCAATCAGTAATCAAGAAATTTTAGAAGCCATTAAACAAACCAAAACAAGTAAAGTCCCAGGCCCAGATGGGCTGATGGCAAGATGTTATAAAAAATTACAAAAATGGCTTGTTCAACCATTACAAAATGTAATGAATGGAATATTAGTAACAGGGAAAATACCAAAGACCTGGGAAGAGGCATACATTACATTAATTCCAAAGCAAGAGGTAGATAGATTGGAAGTTAAAAATTATAGACCAATTTAATTATTAAATTGTGATTATAAAATATTTGCAAATATTTTAGCAAAGAGAATGAAAGGTCTACTATTAGAAATAATCCATCAAGACCAAACAGGATTCCTCCCAGGTCGACAAATGAAAGAAAATATTAGAAATATAATAAATATCATTAAACATTTGGAGGTGAGAAATGATAAACAGGCAGCATTGATATTTATTGATGCGGAAAAAGCTTTTGACAATGTTTCATGGACCTTTATGTTGAAGGCCCTAGGACAGATAACTTTGAAATGATATTTGTAAGAGGCATAGAAGTTATCTACAGTGGTACCTCGGGTTACAGACGCTTCAGGTTACAGACTCTGCTAACCCAAAAATAGTACCTCGGGTTAAGAACTTTGCTTCAGGACGAGAACAGAAATTGTGCTCCGGCGGCATGGCAGCAGCAGGAGGGGGCCTTAGCTAATGGGGCATTAGCTAAAGGGTTACCTCAGGTTAAGAACAGGACCTCCAGAACGAATTAAGTTCTTAACCTGACGTACCACTGTATTCTAGGCAAAAGGCGAAATTGATAATTAATAATATTTTTACTGAGGAATGTAAGGCAGTGTTGTCCTCTCTCCCCGTTATTGTTTATTTTAGTACAGTGGTGCCTCGCAAGACGAAATTAATTCGTTCCGCGAGTTTTTTCGTCTAGCAAATTTTTCGTCTTGCGAAGCACGGTTTCCCATAGGAATGCATTGAAATTCAATTAATGCGTTCCTATGGTCAAAAAAAAGTCCCCAAGACTCTGGGGGACCACTCGAAGAAGGTTCCTCTTCCACTCTTTGCTTCTTGCTGAGGAACCTGTCCATGGTCTGCTGCTTCATCCGCCTTTTCAGCAGCTCCCTGAGAGGCAACATGACCGTCGTATCAAAAGTGTTCGCTTGGTCATGTGCCACGTGCTTGTTAGGGTGGTGCCGCTCTGCAAAAGCCTGCACCTCCTTCCACTTCTGGCAAATGTCCCTCAGTTCTTTGGAGGACGGCCGTTTCTCAGTTGCTTCCTCCTCTTCCAGCGAGGCCTGCTCCTGCGCAACCTCTGACTGCAGTTCAACCAGCTCCTGGGTGGTCAGCTCGTGGTCATGCTCCTCCACCAGCTCGCAGACGTCCTCCTCTGTGACCTCCAGGCCCATGGTCCTCCCCAAGGCAACAATGTCCTGCACCACTGTTGACTCTGGTGCATCAGAGTCACTTGGTGCCACACAGTCCGGCCACAGGCTGCGCCAAGCGCAATTCAAATTTCTCTGGCTGATCCCGTTCCAGGCCGTGGTGATCATCTTCAAGTAGGTGACGATGTCGAAGTGGTCCTTCCAGAATTCCCACAGGGTGATGGTGGTGCAATCAGTCACCTCGAAGCATCGCCTGAAAAGCTCCTTGGTGTAGAGTTTTTTGAAATTGGCGATGACCTGCTGATCCATCGGCTGGAGCAGTGGCGTGGTGTTAGGCGGCAGGAACATGATGTTGATGAAGCTGAACTCCTCCAACAAGTCCACCTCAAGGCCTTTAGGATGAGCAGGAGCATTGTCCATCAGAAGCAAAGCCTTCAGCGGCAGGTCGTTGTCCAGCAGGTACTGTTTGACAGCAGGGCCAAAAGCAAGATTGACCCAGTCCACAAACAGCACACGTGTGACCCAAGCCTTGCTGTTGGATCGCCACATGACACTCAGCCGCTCCTTGCGACCTTGTGTTTTTTGAAGGCCCGTGGGTTCTCCGAGTGGTACACCAGCAGGGGCTTGATCTTCAGGTCGCCACTTACGTTGGCACAGAAGAGCAGGGTCAGGCGGTCCTTCATGGGCTTGTGGCCAGGCAACTTGGCCTCCTCCTGTGTGAGGAAAGTCCTTTTGGGCATCCTCTTCCAAAACAGCCCGGTCTCGTCGCAGTTGAAGACCTGCTGTGGAACGTAGCCCTCTGTCTTCACAGCCTCCAGGAACTCCAAGGCAAAGTCCTCAGCCGCAGGAACATCAGAACTGGCAGCCTCTCCATGCCTGACCACGCTGTGGATTCCAGATCTTGCCTTGAACCGGTCAAACCAGCCTCTGCTTGCCTTGAAGACTTCTGGCTCGCCTGAGGTTCCTGGCTGTTCCCGGACGAGGTCTGCGTGCAAGGCCTTGGCCTTCTCACAAATGACGGCCTCAGTCACTGTGTCCCCTGCACGCTGCTTCTCTTCTAACCAGATGAGCAGCAACTTCTCGACCTCCTCCAGAACAGCTGGGCGGTTTTTCACGATCCTGGTGACTCCCTTGGCTGCATCAGTCGCAAGGATCTTCTCCCTCATCTTCAGGATGGTCCCGATGGTCGATGGGTTCCTGCCGTACTCCCTGGCGAGGTCCGTCACACGCATTCCACCATCGTGCTTCCAGATGATCTCCTTCTTCATTTCCAGCGTCACCTTCTCCTTCTTCCTCTCGCCGGCCTCCACAGCAGCAGCAGTCTTCTTGGGTCCCATGGCAGCACAGCTCTTACCTTCGTAAACTCAGAAAAAGAAGAAGAAAATCAACAATTCAAACCCAGAACCAAGTTCTTGAATTCCAAACACCCAACCCAAAATCCAGAACCCCCCAAAAAAGTTTTAAAAGTTTAACTTACGAAATGGCTGCAAATCACCAAAGTCTTCAAAATCCTCAAATGGCTGCAAAAGAAGTTTTGGGAAAGCTTTAAAAATCACCAAAGCCTTCAAAAACCTCAACTGTTCCCCCAGCCCCTCCCCAACTGTTGCAAACCCCTCCCCAGCTGTTCCCCCAGCCACCCAGCACACTGAAATTCAAAACCCAGATTTTTTTTTCAAAAAAACAACAACATGGCCCAATGGTCACAGAAAATAATAAAAATGCAGGAAAAAAACCACACAAGCTCCCAGATTCTTGCAAACCCCTCCCCAGCTGTTCCCCCAGCCACCCAGCACACAGAAATTCAAAACCCAGATTTTTTTTCAAAAAAACAACAACATGGCCCAATGGTCACAGAAAATCATAAAAATGCAGGAAAATATCCACACAATCTCCAAGATTCTTGCAACCCCCTCCCCAACTGTTGCAAACCCCTCCCCAGCTGTTCCCCCAGCCACCCAGCACACAGAAATTCAAAACCCAGATTTTTTTTTCAAAAAAACAACAACATGGCCCAATGGTCACAGAAAATAATAAAAATGCAGGGAAAAAACCACACAAGCTCCCAGATTCTTGCAAACCCCTCCCCAGCTGTTCCCCCAGCCACCCAGCACACAGAAATTCAAAACCCAGATTTTTTTTTCAAAAAAACAACAACATGGCCCAATGGTCACAGAAAATCATAAAAATGCAGAAAAATCCACACAAGCTCCCAGATTCTTGCAAACCCCTCCCCAACTGTTGCAAACCCCTCCCCAACTGTTCCCCCATCCACCCAGCACACAGAAATTCAAACCCAGAATTTTTTTCAAAAAACAACAACATGGCCCAATGGTCACAGAAAACCATAAAAATTCAAAAAAACCCACACAAGCTCCCAGATTCTTGCAAACCCCTCCCCAGCTGTTCCCCCAGCCACCCAGCACACAGAAATTCAAAACCCAGAAATGTTTTTCAAAAAAACAACAACATGGCCCAATGGTCACAGAAAATCATAAAAATGCAGAAAAAACCACACAAGCTCCCAGATTCTTGCAAACCCCTCCTCAACTGTTCCCCCATCCACCCAGCACACAGAAATTCAAACCCAGATTTTTTTTCCCCCCAAAAAATAAACATGGCCCAATGGTCACAGAAAATCATAAAAATGCAGAAAAAAACCACACAAGCTCCCAGATTCTTGCAAACCTCTCCCCAACATCAAGTCCTTGAATTCTAAACACCCCAACCCAAAATCCAAAAACCCCCCAAAAAGTTTTAAAAGTTTAGCTTACCAAACAGCTGCAAAAGAAGTTTTGGAAAAGCTTCAAAAATTCAGCAAACTCTTTAAAAAGCTCAAAAAGGCCACCACACCGCGTGCAATGTGTTGCTCCTCGAAGTCAAGTCGCAACTGCACCTCTTCCAGCAATGCACCCTGGGTTTTAACGGTTTTACGAAAAAGGAAACAAACTTGCAAGACGTTTTCATCTTGCGAAGCAAGCCCATAGGGAAATTTGTCTTGCGAAGCAACTCGAAAATGAAAAAACCTTTTGTCTTGCGAGTTTTTCGTCTTGCGAGGCATTCGTCTTGCGGGGCACCACTGTATTAGAAGTTTTGATGCGAAATATCAGAGCAGATGAGAAAATTAGAGGAATAAAGGTAGGAATTTAAATTGAAAGCATTCACAGATGATTTAGTAATCACTGCAGAAGATCCAGTAATGTCACTTGAAGAGGTT